AATGTCAGATTCCATTTGATTAAGGATGATATTCTATACTCGTATTCTATATGAGTTTCCCCCCTCCTCCTCTCCCTCCTCCTCCCCCCTCTCTCCCTCCCCTCTCTCCTCCTACTCTCCTCCTCCTTCTTGTTATAATTTGGCCTTTCCCATGAGTGGATTGTCTTCAGACTGGCTTGTGTCTTGGCTGATGGATATGAGCAACAGCAGCAAAAGGCAGGCTACAGTTTTTCCCTGTCAACCGTTTAGCAAATGTCTGGAATTCCACTTTGTTGTTCAATGTGAAGTCACGTGTCCTCCCTAATCAATGTACATGGGAAATCTGAGTGCACCCACTGGATCTGGGAGGGAATTCATCCCCTCCCGACCCTAAGTTACACCAAAGGGATGAGGGAATGGTATCGGAGAGATACTACAATGCTTTCTAGATTCTTATTTCTTTACCGAAAAGGTCAAATATCCCGGAAACTAGCGAGTGGTTTCATAATTGTGACAAATCCCAGGACTTGCACTGGCCTTCTCGTTTTCAATAGTAAGGAGAAAGTAAACAGATGCCATCTTGCACCAAAATAAAACGATGCCCAGCATATCAACCCAACAGATCCTTAGTTATTTTCCCATCTTATTGCAAACAGACTCATTTCTCAAACAATATGTCCTATAATCCCCGATTACAGTTTCCCCTTCCTCTGCTCCATCCAGTCCCTCTCCACCTCCCCTCCCATCCGGATCCACTCCCTTTCTGTCTCTCATTAAAAAAGAACGGGCTTCTAAGAGATAACAAAACATAACAAAATAAAGTATAAGATAAAACAAAAACCGTCACACTGAAGTCAGAAAAACCATCAGAAGGATTATTTTTATAAGTATGGCACACACTACAATTTATCTTCTGCCACTTTCTGGAATTCCCTTTGTGTCCCCAAGCATTGCACATGGCCCAACACAGAGGTGGCCTCGTGAACTGGGGAAAAAAAAAAACAAAAAAAAACAAAACAAAAAAAAACAGCAGCAAATGTCCCCTACCCCTGAATCTGCAGGGATCTGGAGATCCCCTCTGGCCACTGGTTACAGGATAACTGGGTTATTGTCAGGTAGGGACATATTTCTGAATTCGCATCATTTTAAGCTGAGTGTAAACGTCTACATCCGGATGAATTTTATCCTGGGATGATGAACAAACACGGGGATTCTGTCAGCATTGCTGGATAGAAACTTCAAAAATACTGGAGGACAGTGGGTGTCAGAGCAGGGAGACCTGCCTGCTCAGAATGTCAAGAGGATAAATCTGAAGATGATACCCTGTCACAGAAAAATGGAAGAGTTTATTTTTAAGTAGCTGGCAGTTGAACATTTAGAAAAGTAGGGTTAGCCAAATTATTCCCAGTTTTGCATGTATTATATGTGGGAAAGTCACGCCTAAGGCACTGTGATACCTTGGCAAATCTCCCATGCATCGTAGTGTGTGTGTGCGTGTGCGTGTGCGTGTGCGTGTGCGTGTGTGTGTGTGTGTGTGTGTGTGTGTGTGTGTGTGTGTGTTCAACTGGGTCCTCAAACTTATTATGTAGCCAAGAATGATCTTAAACTTCTGATCTTTCTACCCCTGCATGCCTAGCGCTGGGTTACAGGCCAGAGTCATCATGCGTAGTTTATGTGCTGCTGGGCATCCAATCCAGGACTTTGTGCACTCTACACAATACGCCATAGCTGAGCCATGTCCCCAGCCCTCAGGTGAATACCCCAACACAATCAGAGAGAGGGGAGGATGCTCACACTCCACCTTGTGTTCATCTCATGCTCTAGTTTCCTGTTGCTGCCTAACAGGTCACCACAAACCGTGATTTAAGACATTACAGCATCACACTCCAGTTCTTCTCAAGTGGTTTAGGAGGTCAGGAATCCGAAATGAATCCTGTAAGAGTAAAATCTAGGTGACAAGTATGGCTGACCCTTCTGAAGGTTTCTGGTGTAAATTCATTCAATGCCTCCTCTGGCTCCCAGAGGGATCCAGCATTTCTTCGATTACAATCCCATCCTCCTGGTCTCTGTTTTCCTTATCAAATTGCTTCCTCTCCTCTCTGGCCTCCTTCTGCCCTTAAGTAAAAACCTTCACTGTTTCATCTAGTCCATCTGGAAAATCCAGAATCCTCTTCCTGTCAAGATATTTAACTCAGTCACACATGCAAAAAAAAATCCCATTTACCACATAATTTTTTTGGAATTAGGATGGGGGCCTTAATTCCGTTTACCACAGTAAACAACACATATTTAGAAATAACATCCTAAATTATTTTTCAGCCTGAGGAGGATGTAGCCACCAACTAACCAATAATCCAGTGCTGCTCTTCTTTGCATCTATTGCTTAGCTTTGCTGTCGTATCACCTAAATGCCTATCCAGTTTAAGGAGGGCATGACCTGGAAGAGCAGCAGGCCTATTCCAGCGCTGACCTTGTGCGGATGGTGACATCAGATCAGGTGGGTATTTTGACTGTGTTGGAAGAAAGTTGAGCTTTGAGAAAGGTGACTTTGACTCTGGCATTTGCCGGATGGTGGGGGGGGGGGGGGGAGAGAGGTGGGGGGTGTCTCTGCCACCTTCCCAAGTCCGCAGAGAGACATCTGAGAGAGGTAAGAAAGCAGTTTGGTTCAACAGGACTTAGTATCGGTGTTGATTCAGTCTTCAGGAGTCTGACCCCAAATAATGTTAATTTTCAGCAGAATTTGGTGAAAAACTTTTCTGGTGATGATAACTCAGTCCCGTGTGCACAAGAAAGCATACATAAGTCTCCTTGAGGAACAAAGTGAGCTAAGTAAAGAGCAGACACGACTACATCGAAACTCTTTGTAAAGCACACACGACCTCTTCCATAACGACTCAGACTGACTAAGAAAAACGAACTTATGATAAAGGTCTGGGGGAGGATCCAGTGTGGTCTCGGGTCACACAGAGCGAAGGTCACCAGGCTAGAAAGCATTTCTGCTTTTGGACAGATAACAGGTCTTGCATTCCTTCCCTTGAAGGGACAGCCTCTTGTACTTAATGTTCCAGGTTCCCCTAGTGCTTATCTGTGAGCACAAAGACCTTTGTGCCCCCTACATGATGGGACAGCCTGGCTCTCTAGAACCGTAATTCCTTCCGGTGTGACAAGATAAATCGTGGGCAAGTGGTACCTGCAACAAGGCTGCCTGGAGTTGCCAGAATCACAGACGGGATTTAGAGAGAGCAGTATTTTATGATCAAAGATGATTTCGAAGTCATAGATTTCCATGCAGATGCTGAAAAACTAGCCTCTCCATGTGCCTTTTGCACAGATGTTCCCAGTTTCAGTATCTCATGAAAGGGCAATGTAGTATGACAGCCAGGATCGTGGCGCCAGTGTGGACAAGATAAAAACTACTTTTGGCACCAACAACATCCCCCAGTTTGTGTTCTTGTGGCCATATCCACCTCCCTCCCCGACTCTCAGTTCCCAGCAATGAAAATCTTTCTTCTTTTCTACAGTTTTGTCCTTTAAAGAATGCTCCACAAATAATATAACACACGTATGACCTTTCAGCATTGGTTTGATTGACACAGCATAATTCTGTAGAGACTCCTCTGGATTGTTTCCCTGAATCAGTAACTGACTATAACTGCTGAATAATATTCTGTCATGTGGACATACCACCGTTTGTTTAACCATTCTTCTGTTCAATGACATCTAGGGGGTCCATATACACATTCAGGTATAAGTTTCTGTGTGAACATGAGTTGTCGTTCCCCTGAGAGAATGTTCACAAATGTCACTGCGTTGCACAGCAGCTTCACGTTGAGGGTTTCTGGGAATTGCCAGTCTACTTTTCAGAGTCGCTACATTATTTCCTATTCCCTCAGTAGCACACGCACGATCAGGTGTCTTCCAGTCATTAGCAGCATTTGGACTTCTCATCCTTCCTGGCTGCAGCCATGTTGATTGGCATGCAGCGACAGTTCACTGTAATTGTGATTTTAAACTCCCTGGTACCTGATGACGATGACCAGCTTGGTCTTTGCTTATTCCAACCGTCACCAGCAGTGCCCCTCTGGGCACATGACGATGTGGGCACAATATCAAGGAGAGGCCTGTGACCTTCACCAAAGCTGTCCCGCTGGTTCCATTTTACAGACTGGGCTTCTGAACTGTGGGGATATTTTGTCTGTACTTGAACAAATAAAGTTTGCCTGGAGGCCAGAGGGCAGAGCCAGCCACTAGGTTAACCATAGAGGCCAGGCGGTGGTGGCACACACCTTTAATCCCAGCACTTGGTAGGAGGAAGCAGGAAGATCAGGAGTTCAATGCCACCCTTGGCTACACAAGATTGAGTCTGTCTAAAAAAGAAACAGAGCCACGTGGTGGTGGCTCACACCTTTAATCCCAGCACTAGGGAGGTGGAGACAGTAATATAAGGTGGATGGAGACAGGATCTCACCCCCTTTTTCATGCTGAGGAGTTGGCTAGGTAAGAACTCTCTGGTGGCTGTCTATTCTGCCTCTCTGATTTTTCAGCATTTGCTCTGATATCTGGCTCTGGGTTTTTATTAAGACCAACTAGAGTTCATGCTACACTGAACAACTTCATTTAAACAAATCTTCCTTTGTTAAAAATTAAAGGTATGAAATATGCTTTATTTAGCTCACTATTTTTTGAGAAGTGGCTTCTCACAACTCTAACAAAAAATATTTAGAATTAGAAATAGATACACCAAATATATTTCAATAAAGCTATACTCAACTAGTTAAGTCAATGTATCTTTACCTCATTAAAGTAAATAACATAAATTGCCCTTAATTTCTGAAAACAGAAACTGTGTCTTTCACTAACTTATGAGTAGATCAAATAACTCTCATTGGTAGTCCATAATAGGTTTATGTCATAATAGCTAACTACCATTCCGATTTCCCTTCTGTCCATTACTTATCTATTACTATGATAAAACACCTTGACCAAGGCAACTTCTAAAGGAAAGTGTGTGATTGGCTTACCGTGTCAGAGGGCTGGCGTCCGTGATGGTGCAGGAAAGGCGTGACTGGGAGAGCTCACATTTTGACCTGAAAGTGAGAGGCAAAGAGAGACACTGGAGATGATGCCAGTCTCTGGAAACCTCAAAGCCCACCCCTGGTGACACACTTCCTCCAACAAGGCCACACCTATAGGAGTCTCTATAGAATTATGCTGTGCCAATAAAACCAATACCAACAACACCTCCTAATCCTTCCCAAACAGTTTCACCAACTAGGGACCAATCATCAAATTGAGCCAATGGGAGCCGTTCTCATTCAAACCAGCATATACCTGCCATAGGTCAGGCATGAGGAACAGCCATCTAGAGCCATTAAAAAGCCAGCCCGTGATCTGGTTGCAGTATCTTAGGGATAAATAACATACACTCAGGAGGCAACGGCGATGAGAAATACACACAGAGTTCTTGCATACTGTTGGGTTTTGTGACTCGGCACTTGGGTATTAGTACACAAGCCCTCTCAGGGACCGTAAGTCATAGGTCGATCCTGTATTGCTTGGAAGATAGTTCCCCTGCAGACCATCAGTATTTCAGCTCCCTCCTCCCTTATTTAGGCCCATTTGCTTTTTCCTTTAAGAAATGGTGCTAAATATCATGTTAAAAAAAAACATTACCTCTACTACACTTTCCCTAGAACCCCTCATGGTCTACGTGCAGGACTGTCAGAGACTTGATATACCTATGGGTAGCGGAAGGGCAGTGGGCAGTTGGTGGAGGAAGACATGATGTAGCCAGGCTGTGGTTCAGATGGCTACAGTGAGGCCATCTGAGGTGACAGCGTGTAACAGGACATGAGCCAGGGTGAGCCACATCCTCCCAGAGGGCTGAAAGACGGAGGTCACTGCACCCCAGCTCCCAGGGAAGAGCAAAGCCTTCCCACCAGCTTCATGAGCCGGCTGGGACTCCCAGCTGCCTTTGCACGTGCGTACAAGTCACTCTCTGGAGGAGCATGAACTGGCCACAGTGGAACATTTTTCTCCTATGCTATCATCCACCCTCATTTTTTTTTTCTGCTGGGAAATCTGTGAAAAGTCAACGAAGGTCTGGTGGAAAGAAAATTAGAGCAAAATATGCATGTGTCTTCATTCTGCGCACATACTTTCCCTAGATATCGCTATCTCAATAGTAACGGTCGAGGGCTTCATACATGGTGGTCAGAAGGCTCTCTGGAGAAGTTCCATTCACATGTGTGTTACTGGCTTCCTTTTTCTCTGTGTGTGGCAGGAAGAATTAGCAGGGGGTCATCTCGTTTGGAGTAGCATGTTTTATGCTCCCATTGGAACTTGGGTTCAAAAGCATAAAATACATGTGTAGGAAGAGCACTTGTCTTAAGGTGTAGCCCAGGCTACAGCTGAATGGCCCAGAGGGAGGAACTTGGGCCGCCTCAGTTCATGCATCACTGGAATCTTCTCTAGGGGCCCAGCCAGAAGTCTAGCAAAACTGGAAGGCAGAAGTGGGGTGCCGGCCAATTCCATCTTTCCCATGAAAACGTTAATGGAGTTCCCACTAAACTTACTTGAACACCACTCCAAGGCAAAAACATCCCCAGCCCGGGGCTGGCAAAGCATCCAGTCTTTCTCCTGGAGGGAGCAGAGGGTCCTCATGCCTAAGAAAACATGAGGAGGCTCAAGCCTATCTCCAAAGAATTATGGAATAAGGGCAACTTCAATATCCATCTGGTCCTGGCCCTTCGACACTAACCAGGGCCGAGAGTGGAGAAACAGAAGAGGAGTGTTGTTCTACAGTGCTGCCAGCCTGTGCTCCGGTGTGGCATGATTGGCATGCACCAAGAGCCAAGGAAAGAAGGTTCTTTGAAAACAATGAGTGAAACCCAGGACTGAGATTTACTAGCCTGTATTATCTCACTCAACGGCCATGGCACCATGTCAGGAAAACATCACAGTGTTATGCGGTTCATTTCACATATGTGAGAAGTGAGGGGTGGACAGGTCTCACAGACAGTAAAAAGTCCAAGGTTCAGCAGACAGTTTGGCTCAAGATCCCTTCCCCTCATCCACTCAGCAACATCACTACGATGTCTACCACGAGTGGATCTGGGGTCTTTAAGTGAGGAATTAACAGATGGGGACTGGGGAGGGTGGTGAAGGACTGAGACAGAATATTCCTGGGGGTCAAAACTTTGGTTCAGTCTTGAAGGACAGAAAGGAGTTGACAGATAAAGGGCTGGAGACAGGAAATAGGAAGATTAATCCAGAAAGGAAATGCGATGTGCAGATATCTAAAAGGGAGGGAGATTATGTAAAGTGGTGAAGCTACGCAGTGTAGTGGGCTCTGGGTACCGAGTTTGGGTTGCACTGGGAAGAGGATGGGGCATAGGAGAATTAAGACTGGAAATCTATGTAAGCTGAAGAGAATGACTTCAAAGCTTAGGGGAAGCCAGGAATGGACAGCTGGGAGGTGAGCGACACTTGTCTTTTAGAAAGTGTTTTGTCTGTATATGGAATCGCCACAGAAAATTAGAGGCTGGGGTACGGCAAAGAACAGACACGGGATGGGGAGACAGGAAGTGATGCTTTAACCCAGTAAGAGAAACGGGGATGGAGAGTTGATGGCTGACTCGTTGTGGAGCGTAAAGGGACAAGGGTGTTCGGCCAGGGTGACATTGGTGTGCTCCACACACGCAAAGGTGCCCTTCGCTCATCTGGAGAAAACAGTGGAGGAAGGAGACAGGGCTGGGGACGGGGAGGAGAGAAATGAGTGCAACTTGGAATGGACTGCATTTGCTGTCCAAACGGGGCATCCAAAGAACTGTTCCAACGGAAGACCAGGTAAATGAGTCTTGGGCTCCAGACAGACACTCGGGCTCAGGAAACAGGTTTCAGAGTCATTTGGTGGTATTCAAGGCCATGGGCTTGGGCCAGTTCTTATCTATGACTCCAAATTCACTCTCCATGATTGCTTTCTGATGCTGGAGCTGGACCTGTAGACCGTGTTTCCGGTGTGCCAACTGGCCTCTTCTTAGGTTCTTGCAATGGAGGGAGAATGGAAGCTGGAAGAGGGAACGGGTATGAGCCTGCCACAGCACCGTTTGTTTGAGGGGTACGCGCGTGTGCATGCGTGCATGCATGCGTGCGTGCGTGCGTGCGTGCGTGCGTGTGTGTGTGTGTGTATGTGTGTGTGTATATGTGTGTATGTGTGTCTGTGTATGTGTGTATGTGTATATATGTGTGTCTGTATGTGTGTGTATGTGTGTGTGTATATGTGTGTGCCTGTATGTGTGTGTATGTGTGTGTGCATATGTGTGTGTCTGTATGTGTGTATGTGTGTGTATGTGTATATGCGTGTGTGTATATGTGTGTATGTGTGTGTGTGTATGTGTGTATGTGTGTGTGTGTGTATGTGTGTGTGTGTGTGTGTGTATGTACATGCCACATTTGTGCAGGTGCCTCTGGAGGCCAGAGGAGGATATCAGATCCCCTAGAACTGGAGTTCAGGTGGTTGTGAGGCACCTAATGTGGGTGCTGGGACCTGAACCCAGGTCTTCTACAAGAGAAATCAGTGCTCCTAACCACTGAGCCATCTTCCCAGCCTCGAGCCTCCCTTCTTCACACCAGCACCCCAGCTTCAGCCGTGGGGACCAGAAGTAGCCGCAGAGCCAGCTTCCGCATTGAGAGACTCTGGTTCTGTCACCTGCCCTTTCCTTCTGAGATTGGGCCCAGCAGTCTTCTTTCTGAGTTCTGATTTTTTTTTTTTTTTTTTGGTTTTCCGAGACAGGGTTTCTCTGTGTAGCTTTGCGCCTTTCCTGGAACTCACTTGGTAGCCCAGGCTGGCCTCGAACTCACAGAGATCCACCTGGCTCTGCCTCCTGAGTGCTGGGATTAAAGGCGTGCACCACCACCGCCCGGCTTGAGTTCTGATTTTAACAACGCAAGCCTCTTCCGGTGCTCCCCTAGCCCTAAGGGTGGAGTTGTTTCCTACAGGGCCCACCTTGACATACCTGATCTGAGAGTTCTTTCACCTTCTCGGTCGCCTGGTGAATGTTTTACCAAGTTAACAATTCTTCAGTGGTAAAATCTCTCAGTTGAAGTAACTGGTGTGATTCCATCTCCCAGTTAGAATGGACTGTTGCAGGGTGAATAGAGTTTCCCAAAGAACCCCGAGGACCATCAGTATTCGGGAGCCGACAGTGGAGAGGGCGAGAGAGACAGGAGATTCAAAAGAGTCTGTGTTACCAAGGAAACAAACCAAGCAATAATGAGAGATGGAACATTCAGAACACAGCAAGAGGTGGGGGGTGGGGACTAGGCCCCACCCCTCCCTGATGAGGAAGAGATACTCGATTCAGAAGTGTATTCAATTCAGAAGATGCCCACACTCCTATAAAGCAACCCCAATGTGTTGCTGGAGGGCTTCTCTCCAGGTTCCCCAAGCCCCACAGTCCCACAATCCACGTATAAAATAATCACTCAGACGCTTATATTACTTATAAACTGTATGGCCGTGGCAGGCTTCTTGCTAACTGTTCTTTTATTAACCCATTTCTATAAATCTATACCTTGCCACGTGGCTGGTGGCTTACCGGCGTCTTTACATGCTGCTTATCCTGGCGGTGGCTGCAGTGTCTCTCCCTCCTTCTTCCTTGTCCCGCCTATACTTCCTGTTTGGTCACTGGCCATCAGTGTTTTATTTATATAGAGCGATATCCACAGCACCAATGAAACTCACTGGGTCATTTAAAATAAAGAAGATTGTAAATGGAAGGGAGTTTCTGTCCTGACTGCTGGTCCCAAATACCCAGCAGCCACTTCCCAAATTACCACACAGAGGCTTATATTAATTATAAGTGCTTGGCTGATGGCTCAGGCTTATTACTAACTAGCTCTTACATTTAAACTAACCCATTCCTATTAATCTACTTATTGTGGTGTGGCCCGTGGCTTACTGGACCTCTTGCATCTTGTTCCTTGGGCGGCTGGCTCACACACATCTCTCTTGACCCCATCTTCTTCCTTCAAGACCTAGACCTCAGTTTGATTGTTCCACCTAACCTTGCCATAGGCCAAAACAGCTTCATTATCAACCAATGAGAGCAACACACATTCACAGCATACAGAAGGGCCATCCCATGGGGAAGATAAAGAGGCACTAGTTGGGAAGAGGAAAGAGATCAGCAAAACTGGGAGTGGAAACAAGAAAGAAGGGATATGGTCAGAATGTATGATTATATACATGTATGGAAATGTCAGAGTGAAATCCATATGTGCAATTAGTATATGCGAAAGTCAAAGCCAAAAAAGAGAACATTCAGACCAGAGAATAGTGGTTAACAGTTCAAGACTCCCGAGGAAAGTAGTGGGAACAGCTCCATGCCCCCTAGAATGGACAGATAAAAAGGATGAGGCTGGGGGAGGAGCCGATAAGCTTGCTGGTAGATTGGACCACTGAGTTCAGATGCGGGGAGGCCATATGTCTGATGGAGGAAGTTTGCAGTAGCCTCTGATGAGGACACAGAAGAAGGGAGGTCAAGGGCAGTGTGAGACAAGACAAGGGCCGCGGAGAGGCTGTCCGTGAATAGACACTTGAGGCTCCCCCTGTCCACGTGACGAGGTGTGGGTTTTTGCTTGTTTTACCATTAAGGCACAGCTGCCCTTAATGGGGCATTAAAAAAATCAGACAGCAGTGGGATTAATTCAGGTAAGGAGACGGTTAGGCATTCACAAGATGTGGACATGTATGAGTAGACACAGGCTTAACACGGGAGCTCATGAGACTTTGTTCATAGGAAGAAGTGATACCTGTCAGGGAGGGGTTCCCACGGAAACCACACGGCTTGGTGTGCCTGTGAGACTGTTGCTGAGTTTGACTCTCTCCATTATCTACAGCTGCGCAGAGACATGCTTTTAAAAAGGACGGAGCCAGAGAGAAGAACCCCCCTAGAGAGAGCGAGCCCTAGTTTGAGCCTTCTCAACAAAATGACTGTAGCCTTCTCAACAAAACCACATTTTTACATCCAACCTAATCTACAAATCCCTACCGTCCAAAGGCTTCTAAATCTGTCTGTGTTGAGTTCTTATTTATTCTATGCAAGGAACTTCATTGAGGGTAGCGCAATGCAGAGCTGGAGAACTCTGAAGAGTCAGGATGCAATGGTGGAGGTCTGATTTGAACGTTATTGTTCTCCTTTCAATTTCTTAGGACTGAGACCGTCTCTGATAAGCACCCTCATGCAAGCTAATAATGAAGGTGATAAAAAATATTGTTCCCCTGTTAAAAGTACTAAGTACCAGGGTCCTGAACTTTCCAAACTATTTTATTGAAAATGCAGTTTTATGAGGCTAATTTCCCCTTAGGATACAACATAATTTTAAAAATTTGTATTCACTACAGCCCTACAAATTACTGTTTTCCCTTAATGTTGGCAAGTAGTGATTAATTTTAGCAAAATTACAGATCTCACTAGGCATGCTTTATTACATATATGCCTGTGTACCTCCCTAGGGCAAATTATTTTTTTAAAGGCATATTGCTTAAGGGAAGCAAAAAAGCTATTAAATTTGTAAATCAATTTATACATAAATTCCTTTTACACTGATTTGTCATGTATTTTACAAAAATGGTCCTCATATTTGCATTATTCATGAGCAAGTAAGATATGTTTTCTTTCTTTTTTTCTTTCTTTTCTTTTTTAACTAATTTGTATATATCTAGGGTAGAGCTTGATTGTTGCTAAATATTTTCAGATTTTTCTCTTTTGCTTTTGTGTTCCTGGTTGTGAAAAGGCATTTGTATGTCAGGTCATGAGTATTTCAAAAACATTCATCTAGACTTACCTTGTCCTTGGGATGGAATGTACATTAACCCTTCTTGCATTAAAGATTCTTTCAAAATGACATGGGAGGAGTCAGAGGTGGCTCAGTGGGTAAAGGCACTTGCCAGCAAGCCTGACGACCTGAGTTCAATTCCTGGAACCCACATGGTAGAAGAGAACTGACTCCCTGTAAGGTGTCCTCTGACTTTCACATGTGTGCCATTCATGACTCACACACCCACACACATACATATAACACACGGTAAATAAATAATTTAAAATAAAATATTTAAATGGCATATGAAAAACAGTAAATCTGGAAATAACATAGTTTTATAATTTAACCATAGAGGAATTGGCAAGGTGTCCACAAAAGTATATGGAATAGTGAATTCATGTCAATGATGAGCAAATGCCTTTATCAGCTGAGCAGCCTGATGCCATTACATACTTCACTGGCTAGAATCTGAGACTGCATCAGGGTCGGGGGAGATGGGCATCACTGACGGTCCTCACAAATCCAACAGAAAGACATTCTGTAGTCAACGGTACCACAGAAGGTAAACCTAAGCCCACCCTTTAACTCACACATACTAGCTTTTGAATCCACTCAACATAATTCTCCTCATTCACAGTTTCCTTGTCTGAAAACTGCAGTAATTACCTCTGGAGGCCCTTAAGAGCCAGGGGGAGGTTACAGGTGTTCACTGTTGACTCCAGGAGTGCATTGTAATCTCCATCCTGTAGCCCCAGGTCCTGGGGTTCCAGATGACCATCTGGGGAGACACCAAGGAAGATTTTGATGCAACTGACAGGACACGTACCACTAACTTTCCTTACCGATGATAAACTTTCAAAACATAGAAGTATTTCAACTTTAAAGACCTGACACAATGGGATATGAAAAAAATGAGTTTGTTTCTCAAAGTTGTGTCCATCAAAGTAGAGAGCTGCTAATGGCATGGCGGACTCCTATACTGGCATCCTGACAGAGAATCCCCCAAGGTTCGCTGCTTATTCTGGGAAAGTGGTAGGAAAGACAGACTCCGGAAGCAGTTAAAAGCTGGACTAACTAGCTATGGGCGCAGAAGGCAGGTCAGCAGTTGCCTGGGGCTTGAGAGGATGGCTATGGGTACAAACAGAGAATGACTGGTAATGGTTTGGGGGTTTCCTTTTGAGCTAATGCATATGCTAACACAGACTGTGGTGACACACGCTCAGATCAGGGAATGAGCTGCCCTAGTCCCAAGCCCTAGACAACTGCGCCACCAGAGTGCCGTGGTCAGCGAATGTGCTGGAAGCCACTGAATTGCATGCTGTAAAAGGAGCCAATTATATGGGATGTGAATTATACCTCCGGGAAGCTGTTATTTGTTAAGGCTGTCAAAGGGGCAGAGCAGATTATTATGGAACAGGGAGATACCCTGGCCAGTGGTTACAGAGGATGCTAAAAATTCCGTCTGAAAGCAGAAGTTTAGTATTTGGAGACGGTCTTTGGCCATCTTAAAATGCAGAATGGGCGGGTCAGAAGAGGGGCCTCCACTCTTCCCTCTATCCCCAGAAGTTCGCTTTTATCAAAGATTAAACTTTGGTTCGTTTAGATCAATCAGGAAATACTTTCTTCCAAATATTTCTTCATTCTTCTGTATCTTGAAAAGGCAGAAGTGAGTATTTTACCATTTGTCTAAGCGGGTACTTTGATTTCTTTATACTTATTTTGAAAGACCCTTGACACAGGGGAGCATTCCCACCTCCCCTCTGCCCAGACAGATGTGTCTGAAGCCGTTTTAAACTCACCGAAGAGCGCTGTGTTAGGCTGTAGGGTAAAGGCTGTAAAAAGCAGCTGTGGTGTTAATGGCTGCTACATGCTACAGGCCAGCTGGGACCTGACAGGACGCTGGGCCACAGAAACCCTATAAGTGAATAACACAAGGAACAGCCTATAAATAGGAAGACCAGCAATTATCAGCCAAAATACACAGATACTAGAGAGGCCACACAGAAAGGTGTAAGGACATCATCAGGGTACTGTTTAGGTAGAGTGACCTCTGTACGTAAAGATGGAGATAAAAATACTACCTTCTCCCTGAGCTGATGTGAGGGATTAGGTTAAACTTTTTTTTTTTCCTCTCTGCTTTCCATCCAGCTCCTCAGAGAGAAAAGCTGGGCCTGGAAAAATGAGATGTGTGGGGTTGCTAGCTCTCATCTGGGCTCCCTACTTGTCCTTTAAAAAACCAACACACACGAATGAGGCGGGAGGTTCTGGTTCATAGGGACCATTATCTCGCTTCAGAGATGCTCAGAGAGTCCAAGGAAACTAGAACCCACAACCCCTGGCTGGTGTGTGCCAAGCAGAGGAGTTTGCCCTGCCTTGCATGGTATCCAAGCATACATAAGGTATCCAGGATACATAAGGCGG